TTTCTTTCTGTCTTTCTTTTATGAATAATCTTTTATTCTTTCTTTTATTGCAAATCCTTTCTTTGTTTCTTTCTTACTTTTCTGTCTAATCTTTTATTCTTTCTTTCTTTCTTTTATGAATAATCTTTTATTCTTTGTGACTTTTATGACAAATCTTTTATTCTTTCTTTCTTTTATTATTAAACTTATATTCTTTTTATGACTAATCTTTTATTTTCCTTTCTTTCTTTTATGACTAATCTTTTATTCTTTTTTCTTTCTTTATTGATTTTAAGACTAATATTTTATTTTTCGTTTTCTTTCTTTTATGACTAATCTTTTATTTTTTTCTTTATTTATTTTACGACTAATATTTTATTTTTTTCTTGTTTTCTTTCTTTCGTTTAATACTAATCTTTCATTCTTTCTTTCTTTTATGACTAATCTTTCTTTATTATGATTTATTCTTTTATTCTTTCTTTCTTTCTTTTATGACTAAACTTTTATGACTATTTTTTCATTCATTCTTTTCTTCTTTCTTTTATAACTAATCTTTTATTCTTTCATTTTTATTTTTCGCTTTCATTTTTCATTCCACTCTCTCTTTCTTTTTCTTTTCAGATCTTTTTCGTTCATTTCTTTAATATGTCACCCCTCTATTTTTAAAATGTTTCATCTATTCATATCTTTTCTTTTTTTTTTTATTACCAGGCAATATGAACGAGTCCGGGAATAGCGAAAGATACCTTCCAGAAACCATGCAAAGTATTAAGAGATAAGAATATTTCATTAAAAAGTGATACGCAATATCTAATCTTCTATATAGCAATGAATGCCGGACCGTCTTCTCACATGTGAAGAAGAGACGTGAAGCGACAGAGAAGCCGTTTTACCGACGAATACTGACAAAACTTGTGAGCAACGACAAAGTTTTATGGAAATAGGAACTACAAAGAAAGCTATACTTACAATCAAAACGAAACCGCTGAAATTTCTTCGATATTTAAAGAAGAGAAATAATTTACCATCCACTGGACATATCTTGATGGTAACAGAATCAAATTAACGAGCTCGTTTGAATGGATAACAAAACAATGATAAGTTCTAATGGTAGCTTTAGCCATTTCATAATAGGGAAACATTTAGAATTCATTAACCGAGCAGCCAATGATTATATTAAGATTTATAAAATATTTATATTAAAACATTTTAAAGGAACTTAGGTTTCTAATGTCCAGTTGCTGTTATCGCTTTTTCCAGTAATAGTGGATCTAGTTTGTTTTGTTTTACGGCATATCAACCTCAATGGGTTATTTAATGCCGACAACTTTTTTATTGCTGGTAATATTTTCTATCTATCTATCTATCTATCTATCTATCTATCTCAGTATATATTGGTTTGGTTTGGTTTGTTTTACGGCATATCAACCTCAATGGGTTATTTAATGCCGATTAAATTTTTACTGTTGGCAATAATTTTTTTTCCAAAAATCTATTTTCTAGTAATATTTTTTCCTTCAAAAATCTATTTCTGGTAATAATTTTCCTTCGCTAGTAATATTTCTTTTCCAAAAATATATAAATGGTAATATTTTTTTTAAAAAATGTATTGCTGGTAATATTCTTTTTACAAAGTATTTCTGGTATTAAAACCTATTTTTACACTTTCATAATGTTTTGACCCCAGCTTGGAGGTGGTCAACTATTTGTCCATAGATGGGACCCTAACAGGTGCTACCACCCCGGGTCAGAGTGGACCTGGGAACACCAGCAATCAAAACCTCATGATCAGAGGCCTTGCTGCTGGACGTAGTTTATCGTCATACCCAGGACGCGGATGTAGTTTATCGTCATACCCAGAACGGGTAATAATGGCAGCTTCCTTCCTAGCATTTTGTTTAGAGTAGTGAGGGACGTCGATATATCGATTATGTTATTATTTGCTCTTCGAATTGCATATGCTATCCATTTTAATTGTTACTGCTGTTGAAAGTCTTCAAGTGATTCACTTTCTGTTATTTGGTACAGTTCTTCGTTTACTGAGATTGTAAAGAGTCAAAAATTACTAAAAAGCAACAAAAGACAGGAAATTGTGACTCGCCACGATTTCCAATTTACGTAAGAAATACAGCCTATTAAAAAAAAAACATTAAAGATGAATCAAGTTTGCCAGATTTGGCAACATTTGAAAGACTGGCACTACTAAATTTTGAATTTCTCTACAAGCGACTTTTAGATGCTATTTCTAAAATAAGCTGGACTAACCTCTGCCCAGCAAACAAGTGTAGAGAATAGCGTTCTAAAAAGTTTCAGTAAAACTTCTCCCCATCCTATTTCTTTCGATTGCAACCGCTGTAATAGAACCTCCCCGGATCGTACAGGCCTCATCAGCCATCAGTGGCTGTGCACTAAATGTGGAACGTTAACTTAGAAACTGGTTCGTGAAGCCATAGCTGAATTGAGACATAATACTGAACCCATCAGTGATAATTTAAAATACCCTACAATGACTCTTCATTCGAATTCTCTAGTAACTGAAAATGCGATATCAGATCGTATTTAAGAAATTTGCATATTCAATCGGGCTAACAAGAAAAGGGGTACAATTATCTTTCTAAAAGACTTGGTATGAGATTACGTTCTGATTTGTGAGTTCGATCCGTATTAGGTGTCCTCTACTCATGACTTTGAAGCGTGCTACTGGATTGGCAGTTAGGTCCCATCGTTTTATTGTTAAACTATGCCATTTCAATTTGGGAGTAATCAAAGTCATTTCATAATGAAATAAGCAAGTTCAGAATAGGACGTAGCAAATTCATATTGAAATAAGTAAGTTTGAATTGGGACCAAGCAGATGGAAAAACGTTTCGAACTTATCTGCACGTTTCAATAAACAAATGTCATGGATTAAAAAATCAGTTGGGCGGTAAATCAGATAATTAAAAACAGGAGGCTATTCTTGAACGGATAAATTTATGTCAGTTAAATTATGGGTGTTCTCCATCAAGTCGTGCGAGCTCAGACAGAGAGCACCTTTCACAGAATATTTGCAAGCACCATGCAATGCGGACTTCTGAAGCAACAGGGTACTAGGCTTTATTCTGATTTTAGGATTTTAAGTTCGATAGTATAGACCCCAACGTCCCAATGATGTCTGGGACAATAAGTGGGCCGAACGTCACACATTCTGGCAACTTTAATTCGGCAGTCGGTATATCTCTTAAGGTTGTCAATTTCTTTCCTCTTGATACTATGGTCACCTGGAACAGCTTCATCAATGAGAAGATATATTCTTGTCTCTTTTTCTACGATGGAAAATGTCTGGTTTGATGGACACAAGGGCGCGGTTTGTTTGAATGCTGAAATCATACAAGAGTTAGCTAGATTCTATCACGTTCTCTGGCTTGTGACGGTATCATTTATCGATAGGCACGAATTATTATTATTATTATTATTATTGCAATTTGACCTGCAATTATTTTATAATGATATGCCGGGTCAAAACTAATGACCTAGGGCAAGCAAAGGATGGGATTTTTTTTTTTTGGTTTCCACTTAATTAAGCAAAAGACAACTATTAACAAAAATAAAATGAAATGGATAAAGCTCTTTATAGGATATAAGGTTTGTTTGTTAGAACTGATTGTTTTTTGGTGGTTTTTTTTTTTGTTTTTTTGTTGTTTTTTTTTTTTTGGTAGAGCGGATTTCCTTGAGAGATGGTGCACCAGGCATTTTGTTGATTTGTTCTCTAAGCTCCAAGCACAACAGGAACAGTTTTAGTTTTTAAGTTTCTTATTTTCATCTCCAGGTAATTTGCTTAATTTTTCAAAAATCTTTGCAGATGTTTTCCTCACTTTGCTATGCTATTCTACTTGATAGATAGCACTGCAGGTTGCATATCACTCATTATGTTAAAAACATTACCAAATCAGTAAAAGTAGTTACTTATTTCACACCCTTCTATTGAAGGGCAAAGTTTCGTCCGGGGAGGTAGACAGGCCCTGAACCCGTTTATGCAGGTTCTAAGGGAATATTTTTGGCCGAGCCTACGGGCTCGGAGAACCCACGGTAAACTCGGCCTTGTGCCACATACATCCATCGTGTGGGGGCTGTTAAATATATCAGTCGAATACATCTGTTCGGACTGTGCTGTTGAACTCTCTGCCTTGAGCAGGGAGGAACCCGGACGAGGCTTTGCCGAAGGACAAAGTTTCGCCCGGGGGTATAGACAGACCCTGAACCCCTTTTATACTGTTCTAAGGGATTATTTTTGGCCTAGTTTACGGGCTCGGAGAACTCACGATAAACTCGGCTTTGTGCCACATACATCCTTCATGGGGGGGATGTTAACTATTAACAGGGAATAGATTGAGTGCTAGTTCATACGATAAACTCTCACTAGTCATGTAATACTCTTCTGTTGTACTTACTGTTTAATATACGATATATCTGCAAAGCTGGTTTTCTTTATTACTGTTGTGGTACGATCCACCTAATTTACATAGTGGAGTACCGACCATATAAATATGGGTTGGTACCGGGAAGACGAGGGAAGTAACAAGAGATCCAATCCAGAGACTCTGCCCGACTGCGATTAAGTCAACCCATTCTACAGGAACAGTCTTCCCAAGAATATACCAAAACTAACTGTAAATATTGTGTACCTTTTCCTTGTTTCAATACATTTTGTTTACGTACATTTTGTGTTGTATTATTATTATTCCATGCTTATCCAAGCTTCAACAATTACTTAACCATTTACTTGGTCACAGCATTAATTAATCATAAAAGAACCAATCAGAGTTAAGCAATTACGCGGGAGTCGAATGATTATTCAAGGTCATGAATATTCAAGAAATCTATTCAGTTATTTCGGAAAGACAAAACAGTAATGAAAACGTTGTGCTTTTTTTTTACTGAGCACTCTCTATTTCCTGAATCGAACGCAATAGGAATTGGATCTTGGCTCTCCGATTAACAATTCCGAGACATTATCGATTACACCACCCGCACATCCAAGTTTACAGCACCTGATATTTCCAAGCGGTCATCCATCTAGGTACTGACCAGGCTCAATGTTGCTTAACTTCGGTGATCGTATGGGAACCGGTAATGTAACAGGAAGTAGATTGTGACGTCAGTCATGAATGGCGCCAAACCGGTTCCGAAATATCTAAACTGCCAAATGTAAACAGCCGCTTTTTCAGATCAATATTTAAAAATGACTTCGAAACAATGTAGCCAGTAGGTCTTAGTGAGGACCATCCTTCTTTGAATCTCGTACACTGGCGCTACAGAATCACAAACAAAGAACTATGTTAAATGGCAGAAACCCCATCACTTTTGGGCTTTCTATAGCGGCAACAACTAAAATTGATGTTACAGGGAATTCGAAGAAAAAATAATGACATTATCAAGATGCTGACGTTCCACACAACTTTAAAAAAAAAAAAAAAAGGTTAGCAAGAAAGCCCCTCTTAATACTGGAAAGATCTATAGAAGTTATTGGACATGAGAAGTTTTAATAGATTTTATAAATTTTATCCCAAAGTAGCACTGGTTCCTCAGGAAACAGCTTATATCATTATTACTGTTATTAATTATTATTATTTCTATTGTTTGCGTTGGCAGTTGCTTTTGAGGAATTTCAACGAAATTGTATTTATCTATAGTCTGCTTGGAGCTATTTTGGTTAAGTGGCGAGTGTGTAGTGATGGTGGGATCTAAGGGCGGTCTCATTGAAACGACTGATAATTCCAGTATGACATCGAACGAGGATAAAATTAAGAAAATAACTTTTTGAGACAAAAAAAAAAAAAAAAAAGAATTCTCTCAATAAAACTTCTCAAAAGTTCTTCAATTTTGCCGAACCTTGGACATTTCAATTTCTCTACATACTTCTTACGTCTTCGAGTGGCACTTTCCAGAATCCTGAACGAGTTGAAATCGACTCGGAGAAATGTAAAAAGAAAAAAAAAAGTGTTTAAAAATTGGTTTTGTGTTTTTCAACTCTTCCTGATTTGTAATTTCATAATCTGTTGAGATTTTTTTAAGATAAATAACGGGAAATTTTAATTTTTCCAACCTAATTATTTTCAGATTTATCTATCAACTATATTCTTTATTTTAGCTGCTGCTGCATTTTGTTCTTCTTGTACTTATCCTTCTTCTTCTTCTTCTTCTTCTTCTTCTTATTATTATTATTATTATTATTATTATTGTTCTTCATCTCCTTGCTCTTCTTGTTTTTCATCTTCTTCTTCGTCTTGTTGCTGTTCTTCCCCTTCTTTTTTTTTCTTCTCTTAGTTGTTGTTATTGATGTTGTTGTTGTCCTTCTTCTTGTTCGTCGCCATCTTGTTTTTCACTCTTCTTTTTCTTCATCTTGGTTTTATTCTTTTTCTTCGTCTTCTTCTTCATCATAATCTTGTTCTTCTTCTTGTTTTCTTCATCCTACTTTTATACTTCTTGTTGTTCTCCTTCTTCTTCTTTATAGTCTTGTTCTTCTTCTTCTTCTTGTTTTCTTCTTCATCTTGTTCTTTTCGTGTTGTTTTCTTCATAATCTTCTTCTTGCTTGCTTGCTTTCTTCTTGTTCTTCTTGTTCTTCTTCTTCTTCTTCTTCTTCTTCTTTCCCTTCGTCTTCATCTTGTTCTTCTTCTTCTTCTTCTTCTTCTTCTTCTTCTTCTTTCCCTTCGTCTTCATCTTCTTCTTCTTCTTCTTCTTCTTCTTCTTCTTCTTTCCCTTCGTCTTCATCTTGTTCTTCTTCTTCTTCTTCTTCTTCTTCTTCTTCTTTCCCTTCGTCTTCATCTTGTTCGTATTCTTCTGCTTCCTCTTCTTCAAAGTTTTCTTATTCTTCATCATCTTTTTTCTTCTTGTTTTCTTCTTCTCCATCTTCATCTTCTTCTTCTTGATTTTTCTTCTTCTTTTTCTTTTTCTTTTTCTTTTTCTTCGTCTTCTTCTTCTTCATAATCTTGTCTTTTTTGTTGCTGTTTTCTTCTTCATCTTGTTCTTCTTGTTCTTGTTTTCTTCTTCATCATTTTGTTTTTACCCTTCTTCATCGTATTCTTCTTCTTCTTCTTCTTCTTCTTCTTCTTCATCTTCTTCTTCTTCTTCTTCTTCATCTTCTTCTTCTTCTTCTTCTTCATCTTCTTCTTCTTCTTCTTCTTCATAATCTTCTTCTTCTTCTTCTTCTTCATCTTGTCCTTATTCTTGTTCGTCATCTTCTTCTTCTTCATAATCTTCTTCTTCTTCTTCTTCTTCTTCATCATCATCTTGTCCTTATTCTCCTTTTTCATCTTCTTCTTCTTCTTCATAATCTTCTTCTTCATCTTGTTTTTTCTTCTTCATCCTCGTCTTCTTGTTTTCTTCTTCTTCATCTTGTTTTTAGCCTTCATCTTATTCTTCTTCTTCTTCTTCTTCATCTTCTTCTTATTATTAATCTTTTTTCATCTTCTTCTTGTTCTTATTCTTATCCTCCTTCTTCATTTTGTTCTCATTCTTCTTCTTCAACTTCTTTTCTTCTTCTTTGTTATTTTTGTTTTCTTCTTCATCTTGTTGTTCTTGCTCTTTTTGCTTCCTTCTAAACTAAGCAAAAACTTTTAACCCGTACTCACATCTTTAAACAGGCTGGAAGAGAGTCAAGAAGGGCAAAACATGTAGAATACTTCACAAATTCGATTCTCTCAAGAAATCTCCTAATCAAACTCCTCTCAGTCAAGCAAATTGTTTTAAAGAGTCAAAATTGGGCCAGGAAATACTTGAAAATTAACTTTTATAAAGTTATATTCAAGGACAAATCCCTTGTGACACTCGATAGATTTGATTGATGTGACATATACCTGGTGTCTAAAAGGAGGCAGTGAGGCGGCAGCAGAGATAATATAAGTTAAAACTGTCGACCAAACTATTATTGAACCAAATCGATGAGGTAATTAAACTGAACAATGCTAACTACTGCGATTTCATGCACAAGGCATTGTTTGAATGGTACAAGTCACAGGTTCGCAGTTTCAAAATGAAATGTGTATTTATAGCACGACAATGGTCATTTCCGTGTATTTAAGGTCACCCGTGAATATTTTGAGCGTAAAAGGTTTACAGGAGAGAAGATAATGGCATGGTCATCATCAAATCCCGCTCTGAATCCGACAAAAAATCTGTAGTCAACTGTGAAGATAAAATCATATGAACGTGGCAAAAAATATGACAGCAAAGCAATTAAAACCACCATCTTGGAAATCGTACTTGCTGAAGTAAAAGAAAATTAACAAAATCCATGGATAACTGATTGCAGGATTTTATTGAGAAGAAGTGTCATTATATTAAGATTTAAATACTTCAAAGACTTATCATAAGTTTGTTTTTTGTTCTAAAGTAGGTGTTCACCAATTGTTGATGATTTTATTACCGTATTGAAATAAAGTGATTTTCTGGTTTTGCATTGTAACGTCAAGCTGTAGTTTTTATAATAAATCCAATAACTTTAATAAAACATGTTAAAACTACCGGAAAATTTATTTCAAGCTTTGATTCGGCGTCTAAATTAATCGTTTAAAATTTGACATTGTTCAAAGCAGACTCGTGTTATTGAGGTTTATGTGATTTGCATAATAACTTCAGACGGACTACTGATTGGTTCGTTATTCTGAGGGGGGGGATGTTTTTACGCTTATTAAGCCTCCATTTTCTCTCCCTTATCTGTCTGCGCATTTCATTCTCTCTTCTTCACTCCCTCTCTTTTTGTTCTATTTCTCTTTTACACACCCTCAATTATTCTCTCTCTCTTTCTCTCTCTCTCTCTCTCTCTCTCTCTCTCTTCATTGCTTAGTTATTTTCTTTTACGCTCTCTTTTCTCCCTCTTTCTTCTTTTCTTCTATTCTCTCTTTCTCCATTTCTTATTTTTTCTACTCTCTTCTTTTTCTCTCTCTCTCTTTCTTATTCTCTTCTGCTGTCTCTTTTTTATTCTCTCTCTCTCTCTTTCTCTTTCTCCCTCTCGCTCACTCTCACTTTCATTTTACTCTTTCTTTTCTTTTCGCTTTGTCTCTATTCTCTTACAAAATTCCTAAGAGGTATTTTTTTTTAAGTCAGTTTATTAAACTTTTCTCCTCCTGCCTCTCATCCTCCTTTCCCTCTTTCTTTTATGTTTGTACCGCTCTTTCTCATTTTCCACGCTTTTCCTCTATCTCTTACTATCCCTCATATTCATACCGATGAGTGAAAGAGAAAAAGTGTGAGTGTACGATTCAGCTAACCACACGCCGAAAATACCTAACATATCCGGTAAGTTATAGAATAGCTGTTAACCCCCTCAATCGACCTAGCAATGGTTGGGTAAAAAAGAAAAGAGATAGATATAATAAGCCAAAAGAGGAAATACTGAAAAGTTCTCTGCCCAACCAAGAAAAGATTAAAAATATTATGTTTGATTAAGTTTTTGGCTAAAAATGCGAGTCGTGTATTTAAATAGCTTCGTCCGACCGAGATTTTCATATGGATGTCGTCCCTGGCATCAATATTCAGAAATATCTAAACTGTCAACAGTATACAACCGTTTTCTATTCTCACTGGTTTGAAATGGCTTCGAATGAAACCTGTAAGACCTAGCGAGGACCATTTTTATTCGAACCTAGCGGACTGGGGCTATAGTTTCGAAAACGAAGAACCCTAAGAAAGTACCAGAAATGGATTTATACTGAACACGACTAAATAAATATTGCTAAACATGATTAATATCATTTGATGATACTCAACACCTGCAACAACTAAAATACATAGCAAAGGTAAGTTGAAGAGAAAATCTCTATCTATAAAAGGCAGGATGTGTGTGTGTGTGTGTGTGTGTGTGTGTGTGTGTGTGTGTGTGTGTGTGTGTGTGTGTGTGTAACGAATGCACGGCTGCAATTTTCGACGGATTTGTACCAAAATTTACATGCACATGCTCCAAGTTAGCGTGAAAGCCAAGACCGACTTTGCATTTCCCAACTCCCATGGATTTTTTTCATCCTTCTACGGCACTTTTCATGTAGTTTGCGGCCATTTTCTACTGCCAGAGTGAGAGCCTATAGCTTGCTGCCACGAATAGGCAGGAAGATTCTATCGACCAGCGTGAGAGCCAACA